ACCAGCCCCTCCCTCAGCTGGGCCCGCGTCAGGCAGGAGCCCGGCCCAGGTGAGGTGGGCAGCCCAGCAGCTGTGTCCTCGCGGACCAGACCTCTCTGGTCACAGTCCCTGCAGCACGGTGGCTCGGTCCCATTAAACAGTTAACAGCCTGCGTCTTTCGGCTCCCCTGTGCTGACCTCTTTGAGGGCCGCCCCCTGTGGGGCTGGGGGCTGTATGAGTTTCCTGCCAGGGGCGAGCCGAGAGCAGCTCTGGATGACTCCCCCAGGAAGAGGACAGAGGCTACCATAAAAAATAGATGTGACAATAAATGCAGGATGTTCCCCGGGGTCTTAATCTCTTCCTTCAGGAAACCTGCCTGAGGAGTTCCGCCTTCCGTGCTGCTGTGAGGTAGAGGGTATGTGCGTGCGTGCGTGCGTGCGTGCGTGCGTGCGTCCTGGGTTACTAGCTTCTCCCCCAACAATGGAATCCTTCCGAAGCCAGAGCCCCAGCCTGTGGCGCTGGCCTCGCCGCCCATATGTTCCTCCTAAGGCCAAGTGCTTGCTGACCCCCGAGGGTACGCTGGGCCTGGCAGCGTCAGGAAAGCTCGAGAGGCCAGCGTGGAGTTGGGAGGGTCACCGTCCGTCAGCGTCTAACACAGCCAATGTGACCCACGGCGCCGTCTTCTGCTTGGCAAACTCTAACCCCTTCCTCAAAGGCGACGCTGGGACTCCCAGCCACGGGGGAGTAGCCGGTGGACGAACTACGCTTTCCTCCAGGAAGACAAAATTAAAGCTGGAATTGAAACATCTGTGTGAAGGCTTCTAGGGACAAGACGAAGCAGGACTCAACGGCCAAGGCTATGAGGAGAAGGGACCCTGGAGGTGAGCGTTCCTTCCGGGGCTGCCTCCCCCGCATCCCCCTGAGCTGTCGCCAATGCTTGATGCTGGGCAAACAGCTTCTAAAAGGCAGAGAAGCCAGCAGGGTCTCTGGAGCTCTCTCGGGACAGTAGATGCACAGCATGGCTGGGACTCAAGGCATCGGGACTCCAGGGAGAAGGGAGGCACACTCAGGGCTCTTCCTCCTTTAAAGCATTCTTCAGATCCTTGAAGCCAAGAAGCCTCACGGCAGGAAACTCAGAACCTAAGTAAAAAGCCACTGAAGGGCAGAGTAGAATTCTCAGAAGTTTCATAGAGTCGAGGAGGCAAACACAGGGCTTTCGAGCTCGCCAAGAACAAGGAGCCCTGGACATCCAGACCCTAGGGACAGGGGCCCGTCAAGAAGCCTGAGCTCCACCAAGGCTGCAGGCAGGACCCAGTCAGCTCAGTCCATCAGGGTTTACGTGATCCGCCTTGACACTGGCCCATCCAGGAAGGGGGCGAGCACGTCTGGGGAAGCCTCTGTACCTTCTCTATAATGCCTGGCTTTCAATCAAGGATTAGCAGGTACACGGAGAAACAGAACCACGAGGAAAAAGCAGGCCACAGAAACAGACCTGCAGACGACTTGAAAATAGCTACAATTAATACGTTCAAGAATGCATAGTTCAAATGCATATATCAGGACAGAGAGCAGGCTGGAACTGGCTACGACGTCCTGGGCTCTGGCTTCTGCCCAGTCCCCTCATCCACTCCTCCAGCAGCCCAGCGTCACGGCCTTGAACATGCTAATCGCTTCCTGCCCGGGGCCTCCGCACCTGCTGACCTTCTTTTGAGAAGCCCTCTCTCCCTCCTTGCTTGCTCTGGCCCACGTCTCGGGTCCTGGGGAGTCAGTTTAAGTGCAGGACAGCCCCACCCCATGCCCGCCCGGGTCTGGGCTCTGGTTCGGGGCCTCAGACTGGGCTTCCTCACTCACTGTCTTTCACGGCTCATCACTGTCATCAGCCATTGTTTGGGCAAATGTTTTTTGTTTGTTTGTTTGTTTGTTTTGCGGTACGCGGGCCTCTCACTGCTGTGGCCTCTCCCGTTGCGGAGCACAGGCTCCGGAAGCGCAGGCTTAGCGGGCCATGGCTCACGGGCCCAGCCGCTCCGCGGCATGTGGGATCTTCCTGGACCGAGGCACGAACCCGCGTCCCCCGCATCGGCAGGTGGACTCTCGACCACTGCGCCACCAGGGAAGCCCTGGGCAAATGGTTTTTGTGCTGTTAGTTTTTTGTTTTGGTTTGGTTTTTTTAAATGAATTTATTTATTTAATTTTGGCTGTGCTGGGTCTTCGTTTCTGCGCGCGGGCTTTCTCCAGTTGCGGCGAGCGGGGTCCTCTCTGCGTCGCGGTGCGCGGGCCTCTCACTGTCGCGGCCTCTCTTGTTGCGGAGCACAGGCTCCGGAAGCGCAGGCTTAGCGGGCCATGGCTCACGGGCCCAGCCGCTCCGCGGCATGTGGGATTTTCCCAGACCAGGGCTCGAACCCGTGTCCCCTGCATCGGCAGGCGGACTCTCAACCACTGCGCCACCAGGGAAGCCCATGTGCAGTTAGCTCTTAAATGTTGTTTGTCATCCCCTAAACGCTGTAAGCACCCGGCTGGCAGGAACGGAAGCTGTCTTCTTCGTGGTCCTCTCACCAGTGGCAAGCAAGGTGCCTGGCGGATGCAGGCGCTCTGTGCTCTGGGTCCGTGTGTGAAAAACGCACAGGCATCTGGTTAACCACCTAAGTGACCACTCCATGGACTCAGAGTTGCTAAAAGACGCCCACTGTCTTAGGAGAAAATGCTCCGACCCATTTGACCGCGGTCAGCAGCTTTATTTACTTCTGTGGTATTTACGATACAATCCACAAACATTTGCAAATGCAAGAACTCTCCTACCAAGGACTCGGTCCCCACCCCAGGTTTTAAGTAAAACAATCTCTAACTCTGCCTCCTTGTTGGCTCTGTTTGGGAAACTACAACAGCCTTTTTTTTTTTTTTTGTGGTACGCGGGCCTCTCACTGCTGTGGCCTCTCCCGTTGCGGAGCACGGGCTCCGGACGCGCAGGCTCGGCGGCCATGGCTCACGGGCCCAACCGCTCCGCGGCACATGGGATCTTCCCGGACCGGGGCACGAACCCGTGTCCCCTGCGTCGGCAGGCGGACTCTCGACCACTGCGCCACCAGGGAAGCCCACAACAGCTTTTTTAGTGAACTCAATTTACATATTAAATCTGTTCCACACCATGCCATGCTAGGTGTTGGTGAAGGGACGACTGAATAAACGACCACCATCGCTAACCACTATCACGCAGGCACAGCAGCAGCCGCTGACGGCCCACCGTGGACCTGGGCCCACCCACAGGTCCACCGTCCACGGGGGTCTCACCTGCAGACAGGAAACCCAGCAGGAGGCAGGGCCGAGGTCTGAGTCCAGGTCTGCTGGGCTCTCACCTCCGTCCCGCCGCCCACCTTACGTCCACAGGGGCCTCCATGGGACAGCAAAGCCGCCAAGACAAACGGTGAGGCCCAGAGGCCCCGAAGCTGTCCAAGCTGAGCTTGGCCCCCGCCGCACGTCCAGGCAGAGCTGTGGGCAGGTGAGGGAGCGATCCGACCTCTCTGGCCCCAGTTCCCGGTCTGCGAGATGGAACCACCGACAGCAGACGAGGGGCACCGACCCTTCAGTCACACGCTCTACAGGGAGCAACGTCCAGGATGCCGTGAACAGATAGAGTCCCCCCTGCACCACACACGCCACCCCCCTTTGCCTCCAGAGGGCACGAGAATGAAAAAGGAGGTGACAGTCAAATCCACCCGAGTCCCCCCTCAGGATGGGGCCACATGGTGGGTGACAAAATGCGGCAGCACTGACGGCAGAGCCCTGGCAGCTCTCCAGCTCCTTCCCCTGCAGGTAGGTCGAGATCCAGTGAAAGAGGGCGGGGGCTGCCTCACTCGGGAGCCTGGCGAGGGCCTGCCCACTTCTGGGGGGTCACATTCCTGGGTGGCTGTCACCCAACCTCTCCCTGGCACCCACTGCCTGTGATTCCGGTGAGCTGGAATCTCATCTGGGAGAGGTGGGGACCCCACCGGGGCAGCGAGGACGCTCCGCCCTCGGGGTCCCAGGTCTCCGTCGCTCCCTGGGGAATGGGGGGGTCCTGCTCCCGGCTCCGTCACTGCCCCAGGGCTGAACTGCAAGAGAAGAGTCTCTTCCCCACACCCTCCCCTCAGTCAGCTCGACCAGGACCCGCGGCACCTCCCCGGCTTCGGGGGTCCCTGCGGCACCAGGTCTGGACGGGATGTGCCCCCTCCGGGCACCCCCACGGCTTTCAGCAGCAGCCTCTCACCCCTGGTCCCCCAAACCTCCATACGCCGTCACCTCGAGGTGGCAGATCCAAGCTGGTCCCCCCCTGCACCGGGCCTGGGAGAGGGAGGGGCAGGCATGGGGCCCCCAGCTGATTGATGAAGGTCGACGGGTCCCCAGGGACACCTGCACACAAGGGACCGACTCTCCCTTCCCCAGGGGGCCCCTGCAGACCGTCCTGGATGTGCACCCGAAGCAACAGGCGCATCTGCAACGGACAGGCTGCCGCACCCGTGTCCCTGACGCTCGGCTCCCAGGCCCCCAGCGCAGGAGCAGGACAGGCGGCGGACAGAACACTGATGCTCAGCCCTGTGCCGCCCGACCCTGTCCTTCTGGAGGCCAGACAGCCCCCTGACCGAGTGTCACGCAGAGGCTCGAGGCTCAGGGCCAGGCCACTCCGGAACCCACCCAGGGGCGGGCGGGG